ATGGCGGTGCGTGACATAAAGCTACCATTAAAGTATTTGGAAAAGTGCTTCTTTAAATGTTTTTTTTTTGTTCAGTGCAGATCAGTGACCTGGATAGCCAAAGGAAGTTCCAGATGTTAACACTATTTTCCGGCCGCCAAACTGGTGTCCCACAGAGGAACAGTCCAATATGGCGGCTCCATACTAGGCTCTGTAAATTTGCGCGGAACATTTCGACGAATATCTCAACTTCGGGACATTACGCACACACCTTAAACTTTGAGAACTGTCTTCTTCATTTATCTTCTATAATATCACAATTTCTCGACTTTATCCACTGAATGGTTTTTGATTTTTTTTTTTTTTTTTTTTNTGCGTGACAGTGTAAATACTCTATTGGTTCCTGGGCGTATCACGCAGTCTTTCCTTGTGGTAGTTGGTATGGCAACAAAGGAACGCGTGACGTATGCTCTTCGCCTGGCTCTGCGCATTCCTTCGAAAAAGGCAGTCGATTAATTATTACCAGAAGGGCAATCGATCAAGATATGAGAGGACCACCAGACGTAGTTTGAAAACCTGTAGGAGTCGAGAGCCTCCGGTGTAGCTATTTTTACTTCGAAATGGTAAGTTTCACGCCGTGTTGCAACCACAGGAGCACTTCAGTGGTTTTTTTGCATTTCAATGGCTTACCTACCGTTTGTTTACTTTTTCTATTCTCGTCGTAACAAATTGTGTTACTATACTTTTCGTTTTCCGCAGCCGGCCGGTCACAAGTCTGGAAAAGTAAGGAAATCAGGGAAAAGTAGAAGCAGAAGCAGAGGAAGCAGTCGAAGCCCGTCGAGGAAAGGAGGGAAAAAAAGCGGAAAGAAATCTCGGTCGCCATCACCTTCGAAAACAAAGAAGGATGTCGACTTGTTGAGCCCTGACGCCATGGTAAACGGTTACTATATTGCTCACAATGCGCCGCAATTTTTGGGATACAGAGGTTTTGGATGGGATACTGGAGCGAAAGGGAAGAAGAAGAAAAAGGGCAAGGGAAAAAAGAAGAAATGAGGTTTCCAGGGTTGCGAACAAATCGTCAACTCAAACACGCCACAGTGGACAAACACGACCCTGCGACTTTCTAATTGCGGCGATTTTTAATTACCTTTACAAAAGGGTCGATCTGAGAGATACTGCAGGGTATGATGCATGTGTCTAGGTTGGTGCCAAACTGAGGAATTTTTCCTCTGCTGAGCTGGAATCAAGATTAAACAAAGGCTTTGAAGGAAACTGCATCGAGGACTGCGCGCGAAAATGCAGTAAAATGCAGTTCGAGCATGAGAGAGATGAAAGATTTTTAATTTGTTGTGTATCCGAGATTTTTCATCTACACAAAGTAATACGATTGTACAACATGTGATTCTGAACGTTCTTTTAAAAAAAATAAACTGACAATGCCAC